TCACGGCCATTGGCCACTGTTAGTGATGGGGCTGGAGCCACGGCCATTGGTCACTGTTAGTGATGGCATTGGAGCCATGGCCATCGGTCACTGTTGGTGATGGGGCCAGAGTCACGGCCATTGGTCACTGTTAGTGATGGGGCCAGAGTCACGGCCATTGGTCACTGTCAGTGATGGGGCCAGTGTCATATCCACGGGCTGGTGTTAGTGGTGGGGCCAGAGTCATGGCCACGGGCTGGCGTTAGTGATGTGGTCAGAGTCACGGCCAGGGGCCTGCATTAGTGGTGGGGTCAGAGCCATGGTCATGGGCCAGCATTAGTGGTGGGCCCATAGTCATGGCATTAGTGATGGGCACAGAGTCATAGCCACGGGCTAGCATTAGTGGTGGGTCCAGAGCCATGGCCACGGGCTGGCGTTAGTGGTGGGCCCGGAGTCATAGCCACGGGCTGGCGTTAGTGGTGGGGCCAGAGCCATGGCATTAGTGGTGTGTCCGGCGACCCCGTGAACCGCATTCCTTCGTGTTGTACAGCCAGCCGTGCCACCCTGCACCGCTCCCTACCTCCTCCTCCTCCAGCCGCCGCAGCGTCTCGGTGATGAACTTGATGTACTGAGTGGTCAGCGTGGTCAGCTCGCTGTACTGCGTCCGCAGGTCCACGTACTGTGGAGACAGTGGGTCAGCGGGAGAACGGGGAGCAGGTACCACTGGTTACCCCAGCATTGACGGGGTTGGACGGACCTGAGACCACCCACCACATCCCCAATCCCACCCCTTCAGTGGTCAGTCACAGAACACCCCAGACCATCGGCGCTGAGACCCCTCCTCACCTCCTGGATGATGCTGTCGGACGCCGACTGCACTTTGGGTTTCTTGGCCGGCGACGCCATCGGCTCCACCTGCGCCTTGAAGCTCACCAACTGCAGCTCGTAGTCCTGACGAGGAGAAAACAATCAAAACTCTGCCCTGTGCCCTGCAAACCCTTTGGGCACGTTGCTGTGACCACCACCAGCCCCCCAGCCCAGCCCCCGGCGCCCCCAAGGCGGTGGGCACACCTTGATGGCGTCGATGTACTGCTTGGCGTAGCGCTGGCACTCCTCCACYTTGTCCTTGTGCTGCTCGCACTCCTCCAGCAGTTTCTGGGGGAAGACACGTTGGGGTGAGCCCCAGGCACCCCACGGCCATCCGAGACCCCACCGTGGCCAGAGATGGCCAAGAGCATCACTGGCCCTGCCACAGATGGGAATGGCCAGGASAACCCCTCACCCTGCTGGGAATGGCCAGGAGAACCCCTCACCCTGCTGGAGCCAAAAATGGTCAGGAGCAGCCCTTGCCCCACTGGGGATGGCCAGGAGCGCCTCTCACCCTGCTGGGGATGGCCAGGCAGACCCCTTACCCCATTAGAGATGGCTGAGAACTCCCCTTGCCCCATTAGGGATGGCCAGGAGTTGCCCTTGCCCCACTGGGGATGTCCAGGCACACCCCTCACCCCGTTAGGATGGCTCAGAGCCCCCCTCACCCCATTAGGGATGGC